TAAAGTTTCTTTTGTGTAATTTATAGTGGCCTTTCAATAAATTCTATTAGATCCTGAACATGTAACCATAGGATAAAGCACTAAACATTTTATTGAACTTATTTGTATTTAGGAATTTTGTCCTCCAATCTGTCCTCTTTGTCTGAGAATAGAATTTTATTTTTCCTAGTAGAGAGAATGTTATGTTTTATTATTGAATAACCCAACCTTATAGGTACATAACTTTCGGAGCAAGGAAACAAAAACCTTAATGATTAACTACATCAGCCTACTCAAGAATATGCCATTTTTACAAATAAAGAAACAAATAAATCACACAATATGCACTCTCCAATGCTTCCCCCCAAGGTGGGGAATGGACAATCTTGGTAACGATTGATTGAAGTGTCGGATTGCTTAAGCATTTAATAAGCATTTGCAAGTTGAGAGTAAGTGGGCAAGGGTTGCAGATCAAGCCATTATCTAGCTTTTCTTTGATAAAGTATCTGTCAACTTTAATGTGTTTGGTCCTGTTATATTATACTAGATTATGAGCTATATTGATCATTGATTTGTCTCATGAGGACCTCCCACTTAATCTTTGGGTATTTGAAGATAATTTTTAACAGTAACAGCTCGCAGACCCTTTGTGTCATTGCTTGGAGATCTGATTATGCACTTGATCTTGCTACCATATTCTCTTACTTGATTCTCCATGTAATAAGTATTCCTTTAAAGAAAAATGCAAGAATATATGGTAGATTTTCTATCTACTACTGACTCAACATATTCAATATTAGTATGAGCTTTAAGTATCAGTCTGGTTTTCTTTTTAACTCTAATGGTCTTTCTTGGGTTCCATTAAAAAAGTGTAATACTTAATATGCTGCATGTCGGTGTAATTGTGCAAGAACTAACTTTTCAACACTTACCCCATATGGAAGTTCTGGTCTTCTATGTGAAAGATAAATAAGTCTCCGAACCAATATTTGACACATGTCCTTATTAACAGCAATATCTTCCTCTGCCGATCCTAGCTTGTGGTTGGGATTTATTAGTGTTCTGTTTTATTATTGCTCTGATACCATGTGAGAGAATAGAATGTTATGTTTTATTATTGAAATAACTCATTTCTATTTGTATACAAACTTTAGGAGCAAGAAAAAGAAACCCTAGTAACTAATTAGATTAACCTATTCTTGGTGCACATGTATCTAACTTTGGGTCAAATGGCTAACAGATCATTGACTCCTGGAAATTGGATTTTGCAGGATGTTGCAAAGAGTGTGACAAAAATTGCTGTTAGGGAATCACGAGCTCAGGATTTGAGAAATGAGATTCTCAACTCTGAAAAGTGAGTAGTTAATGACTTGTACATGTTTTTTATTTCTCAGCGCCTCTTATTTAGAAATTCATAATCAGTTATGAGGATCAAATTAGTCTTTTTATCTAGTTCAAGGTTATTAATGAGAGCTTCTTTGTCTCGAAAGAAATGAGGGCTTGTAGTAGTGATTGGGGCACTTATTTTAGCTGTCGTTTGGCTTTTCTAGTCTCTCAATCTTAACTTGAATTTCTCACACTTGCAGTATAGTTATTTTGTTCTGATGACATTATTTTTTCCAGGTTGAAGGCTCATTTTGAAACTAACCCGAAGGATTTAGGTAATGAAAATTGACGATCGAACATCTCTGAATTGATTATTCTACTTAATTAACTTGTTAATTGTCATGGCAGTTCTTACAAGCTTTTTCTGGATTTCTATTTGAGCAGATCTATTAAAACACGATAAGGTTTTGAGCAAGAAGCCTCCTGCTCCTCACCTGCGTGATGTGCCTGACTACCTTGTTGACCCTAAAACTCAGGAAGCCAGCAAAATTGTTAAGCTTGCCAGAGCTGCAATGGGTGGTAATCGCTCTACTACTCACCACGCATCAAGGAGAAGATCTAGAAAAAGTAGAGATCCTCTCAAGACATTCTCTGCCGAGGTACAGAATATAAATGTTGTTTATGCTTGAATTTGTTTTTAGCTCGAATTTATTTTTTAGCTTAGAAGTTGCAAACCCATGTTGATTTCGTTTAATTGGATGAAATGGTTGTGATGCTAATATGCCTATGTTCTGTCTTGTCATGCCAGGCGCCTAAGAAAGGCCGCAGAGGTGGAACAGGGGAAGGTAAAGAGGCAGGTGGTGGCCGTGGACGAAAAAAGCAAAAATCTTACTGAACTTGGCTCTTTTTACTTGTCTCAAGTTTTGATATTCCAGGAGAATTACTAACCCCAACAGTTTTGAATCAAGTTATTCAATTATTATTCATTTTATTATTATATTGTGCTTTAGAGGAGGGCTGGTAAGTTCTTACATCAATCCGAAGATCAAACTGCCAAGTGAAATTTGTTTATGATGTGAATTGAATATAGAACATATAAAAGTTATTGAGGGAACTAACCTATTTTAAAAAGAGTCAATTGATTCTCGAAGTTGAATTCAAATATTGCTCGGGTCTGTTTTGCCCCGATAATGCATCGTTGGTTAGTCTCTGTTCTGCTTTTCTGGTTAGTTGAGATTGTAGGTGTTCATTAGTTTGAAATCCAATTGGAGTTTACTTTTTTTCTTTTTCTTGCATACTTCAATTTCATGCTATAAATTGGATTGAAGTTGATTTGGTCTAGATGGAAATTGATATGGTTTGAATCGAAATTATCAGTCTGGATTTGACTGTTCCCAGTATGGAAGTGGTTTGGTCTAATTATATTTCTTTTTCAAACAATATTTTTAATTAAATATATTAAAAAATTAATAAAAATAAAAACAGATAATAAATATATAAATTTTTGTCATTCATTAAGTTATATAATCATCTAATATAATTTATAATTATAATTTTTTTTTCCATATTTTTGTGTTCAAAATTAATGTTTTCAATTTTATTTTTCAGATACTTGTTCATAGGGTTTTTTTAATCTTATAAAGAAAATATATACAAATTTTACTTTTCTGTTAATGTTCTTCAAAAAATACCCCAAAGTTAAAATCAAACAAACATAATAGTGTAAGGTGAATCTCTTAACTAATGGATTAATCTTTGTAAGTAATAATGTATAATATTAATAATTTATTATTTAAAAATTATATGAGTTCGAATTTTACTGAAAACGTATAAAATTTATTATTTTTTAAAGTATATTATGAATTAATAATTATCGAATTGTATCACCTGATTTAATAAGTTTAAAATTTAATTCATTAACGTATCGGTGAAACTTCTGGAATCTTCACGAGTTATTATAATTTTAATTAAAAAAAATATTTTATAGCAGTTAGTTTGTTTTAATAAATTTTTTTTCATGCTTTATTGATTTTTTAAACAAAATTACAAATTTGCCCTTGGTTCCATAATTTACCCATCAGCTTCCAATAATTCTTTTTTTAAAAAAATAATAATAATATTCTGTTAATTTATTTTATATTTTCTTACTTTAATTTTATTTATTTTTAATTCCAATCAACTTACTAACTTGTTCTATTTTTAGGTTTTTACTTTTTTTTTACCAATTTCTTTTCTCTTATTATTTTTTTTATTTTATGTTTTCATATTTTTCTTACTATAATTATTTGATTTGGGGTTCATCAGATAACAGTTTGTTTAAAAGAACACTGCAATTGTAAAATATAACAAACCTGAACTCAAAAAGATAACATACAGAAAAAGTAAACGAGACGTTCAAATTAGGTAAGGAAAAAATAACATGAATCTGAAAAATTAATCTGCCAAAATCTAGAAAAAAAAATAAGAAAAAATGAAGATGATGAAACCAGAAGTTGAAAAGGCACTGATTTCCAAGAAAACAATGATGGAAAAGCATGGAAGCTTGAAGATAACCAATTTCCAAAACAAAAATTGACACTGCTCATACCACTGTGGTGGCGGCTAGCCGCTGATGAACTAGGCGTGTTGGCTGCAAGCACACGGGCCAGAACGGTCACAGGTCAAGGAAGCTAACTGTACTGTCCGGGTGCGGGAGACAGGAGAGTTGATGAGAGACTACTGGGCTGTGTTTGTGCGATTGCTGTGTGAGAAACATGGTAATTACGCCTCTGCGTACTGTCAAGTTTTTAGGGTTTAAGTTTAATTTGGGAAGGGTTCTGATTTGGGGCTCATCAGATAACAGTTTGTTTAAAAGAACACTGTAATTGTAAAATACAAACTTACAAAATTTTATAGAGATTGAAGAATATTAGCCATATAATCGAAAAATCATAATTTAAATTAAGTATTTTTCTAATTTTTAACAAAAAATTAGATACATAAATAAATTAATCTAATTTTATAAAATGTAGAAATTATAATTATTTTTTATTAATTGAATAATTAAATTTATGAATTGAATGAAAGTATAATTTGCAGTGAATTAAAAATTAAATTCTATTTTTATATTTTAAAATTTTAAATTAATTATTATTATTTATACTATCGCGTTAAATTTATTTTTATGTCATAAAATCTAAGTAAATAATACTTAAAATATTATTTCTATATGATATACTTACATTATAATTAATATGAGTAGATTATTTTTTTTATTTCAGAAATATAATTTTACGTCTATATTAATAAAATTATAAAACCCACAATTCACAAAATTAGATATTCTATAATTGATAAAACCTCAAACTTTAGATATAACTATAATGAGAGAAATATAAAATTACAGATAAAAAAAATGTTGGAATTTAAACAGAACAAAAAAAAACACATGATTAAAATTAAAATAAATATTTTAAAATAATTTAAATAATCATAATAATTTTTAGAAAAATAATACTATTTAAATAATTATAATAATTAATTATTTACTATTGTATATTTATAATAGAAACATTTTTTAAAACAAGTTTTGTTAAACTCTTTTCCACCTTAAAACCATTTTTAATAGAAAAAAGAAGTATTATTAAGAACACGAAGAAGATGAATACATTCGCGAAAGGAAAGCATCCTCCTCGGAATTTCGAAAAGACTCAGGCTATCCACAGAAGTATATATGTATGACTTTGTTCCCCACAATCGACAGGATGACCTGAAAATTCTGCATATTTGCAGGAACTGGAGTAGGACAGAATAGAAGTTTTTTAAGTACAACACAATTTCTCAATATATTATGATTTATCAAAGTAAAGCAAACTCAACATGCTCCTCAAACTTACAACTCACAGTTTATGTATACCGTCTATTCCTCATGAAACAAATACAAGCCGAGACCAAACCGAGCACATGCTCTGCAGAACGCTATTTCCTCTGCTCCAGCAACTGGATCATCAATGTTACTGTCATTGGATGATACAGTCCCAGTTGACTCTCGGTGTGCCTATATCAATAATTAATTTCAATTGAATAAAATTCTTCATATTAAAGAGACTGTGATGCACCCAAGTTTCGAATTTATATTCATTAGGCACATCTAAACATGCAATTGGAATTCAGGCTACTCGGGTGCATTCGTCACCTAATCATAAAACAGCATAGCTAGTATAATATCAAATCATGACTAAAGTTTAGTTCAAATTTATGAAAACGTGGTTCATCTTATTCACAATTTCAAGATAACATTCCTACAGTTTTTATCATTATTCAACAGTGTCTTACATCGGAAAAATCTCTATGCAATAACAATTTTGCTCCTTATGTGCTGACCTATATAAAGATTTTTTTCTCTCTTTCCATTCCCCCCTCTCTCTCACCTTCTCTCTTAGTCCTTTGGGGTTTTCAACAACATTACATACACCTAAACATATCAGTCCATAAAAGAGATGCCCGTGGCTGGCTACATTTCCTGGTCTTACTGAAAGAATAAAGAAACCGTGGAGGGATTATATCTATGTAATATAATTAAATTGTGATGATAAGATCTTCAATACACTGACTACATCAATGAGAGGCTAAAAATGCATTAATTCATAGTTGCTAATCCGATTCACTAGTTTTTTTTTTCAACCCAACAAAAGATTATAACAATATTACTACTTCAAGAAAAACCCAGCTATGGACGGCTTTTCATTCATATAAACTAGCTTCAATTTTTACCAACACTACCAATCTCTAGCCTCCCCTTCCATAGAAGGTTCTTTATACCTTTCTTATTTCTTTCCTCCTTCAAACTCCTTTAAAGAAAGTTTTACAAAGGAGAAAACAAAAAGAAGTGTCCTCTGCAACTTCCAGAAAGTAACACATTCAAAAATGTCCAAAATAAGAAGAAATTTTTTTTTTATTTGTTTCAGCAATTGCAAATTGCGATACACAGCAAGGAATTGGTAGAAAACAAGGTAAGTAAAATAAAGTACAGCACCAAGGGATTTTAAGGAATTCACCTCTCCATCAGAGCCTCGAATGGTGAGGCGGTAAACAACAGTGACAGTTCCATTATCAGAGTATATAACATCACGTACTTCTCCACACCATCCTGCAGAGAAGATTTTTTTTAAATAAAGCATGGAACAAGTAGTTATTAGAAACTAAAGGAACGGTTGGAAAGTAGATTCATAAACTCAAAAAGATCAAAGCAGACAGACCTGGAGCATAGAAACTAAGCATCCGGTTGGCATGGTACCTAGACAAAATAAAACAAACTATGACAAATGATCTCTATTTCCAAACATAACAGTAACAAATTTGGGGGAAGCAAAAAGGATAGAACCATATTAACTTGTAGAAGCCATGAGAGAGAAAGAAATAGGAAAACATAGGGAAGTAAGAAATAAGTAATATTGTTACCAGGGGATGAAAGTAGAAGGGGAAGAGAAGTTAGGATGATGAGTTTTGATGATGTTGTCAGGGATCCTCTTGTTGAGGTCTCGTAGAATCTCAACTAGAGGGCGGGTGATGCATGATGAAGACAGTGGTGAGAATGACTTGTCAAGGGGAACCACATAGTTTGAATTGGGCACTCCTTTCTTCTTCACACCTTGGCCATCACTGCTGCTGTTATTGCTGTTATTAGTACTGCAACACACACGTCCGATCCATTTCTTGCTCGGTGGGACTGCAACTACTCCAGCTTGTACCTTGTTAATAGTGCCAGATGATGAATAAAACCAAACAGATTGTGGTCTTGAGGGGATCAAACTTGTTCTGCTTTCCATTGCCATTTGTGCTGAAAAGTGAAAACCCCACTCTCCCAATCCCTTTCTCCCCTACTGCAGTGCCACAATATAACACCAGAAGATAATGATAGAAAAAAAAACGAAGATTACTATGAAATTCCTTCCTAATTTATTGACAAGCCAATTTCATTGACAGCAATGATTATACATGCGGAAAAAGAATTCATAATATTCATTACTTTTTTCTACCCCAACTAAAAACAAAAAATTACAACAAGAAAGTTGGTTACAGACTTCTGGATTGGGATAGGACTTTTCTTGAGTTTTTCCTATGGCACCATAATCAAAGCCAAAACTTTCAGTTTACAGCTTCCAAAATCCATAAATTAGTTGGTTGCTTGATCAATATCCTTTTTCAAGTTTAAAATGGAAAATTATAGAAGGCAATAGACTTGCTGACCCTTGCGTATTTTGGTTCTTGAAAAAAGACTTATCAACTATAATGCTAAGGAATCCCGAGTTTTGAAATTTACACAAGTATACAAGGGCCACTGCAATTTATTCAGCAGAAAGAGAAGGAAATTATATAAAACAGGACTATCAATGAATTCATATTTTTCCTTTACGCAAAAGCAAATGCAGATCAGAATCAAAACCCTAAATCACTCTTCCCTCACTCGTCTCCAAAACCCCACTGTCCGAAAACCAGCAGCTCAATCTTAACCTCTATTGTAAAGCACCAATTCTTAACGCATTACAGATCTTTTCCTCTTCATACCTACTTATTTCAAACCCAAAACAACCACCGTAATAGCTTCATCAACTACTGTAACAGCTATAATCAGAAAATCTTTGCAGATGACTACAGTGATAATGATTCGATTGAATGATCGAAAGAACTAGAAAACACGAGCGGAAAAGGAGAGAAACGAGAGAGAAAGAGAGAGAGAGTAGAACCTGATCTCAGGCACACCGTTGAGTAGCTGCGTCGTTGGTGGTAACTGGTGCCTAGAGGAAGGATAGAAGATGCGTAAGTTAGACTTGAATCAGGTTCAGGCAGGGTAGTTGATGGTCAAAGTCAAACCTAAGCAAGAAAGGGAAGAAAAAGATATTTAAATAAAATTAAATGGCAATTTACATATTAAAAATAATTTTAGTATTCCCCAAAAAAATAATTATAATATCAACCATGTAGTCATATATATATATATAATATATGTGTATATGTTTGAAAATGTCAAAAGTTGAATTTCACATAAATTTTCATCATTTAACTAAAAAATTGCAAAGAGTATAAATCTGAAACCTCCAATATACATATATATATATATATATATTATTTTTTATAATTAATTTTAAATAAAAATATTAAATTATTCCCATATTAATAAATTACCCATAGAAAATATTATTTTTTGGTAATTAATTTTTAATTAAAATATCCAACTATTTATATTAAACTTAATTGCATAAAAATAATATTACACCAAAACTATGGGTTATCTATATTCATTACATTATTATTATTATTATTATTATTATTATATTGTACATAAGTTTTATATACTAAGTGATTTTTAAGTTTTTAACTTTTTTTAGTGTGTCGGAAAGATCTTCATTTACTATAAGATAATTAATTTAATCGTAGCTATTATTAATATAAACATAAAGATCTTTATTTTTGTATAGAAGAACCATATTTTCCTTAAAAAGAAAATTAAATCTTTATGTTTAATAACTCTTTAGCTTTTCGTGTAACTAAAATAAAATAATTTATTATCTAAAGGCGGAATCAAACAATAAAGTTAAGTTTTATATTTCTTACATAATAAATTAGAATATACAATAGGGTTATAGGAATATCCCTACTACAGCGGCTCGTAAAAAGAAATGAATAAATAATTTAAAATAAATAGATAAATATCCTAAGAGTTTGTAACGGCCCCGAAAATTTAAAAAAAAATATATATAAAAATTCTGTGAGTGGAAGCGGAATAAAAAGTTCTAATTAATATCTCTTACATAATAACTTAAACGTAGTAACAATATCAAAGAATAAGTCATCTAAAGAAAATACTAGAAATGAAAGATTATAAAGAAAATTATAGGATATCTAGGCATCTATTTGCCGTCTTCTTGCGGAATGGGCTCGGGAACCAAGTCATCCTGATCTGAAATGGTTAAGTAATGAATGAGCTACACTAACCCAGTAAGGACGTTACACTATATCACTGTCACAGAAGTAAAAGTTGGTAGAAAAACGAAAACAACCAATGGAGCACAATTTTTAAACAAATTCATTTATCAATAATCAAACCATTTACCGTCCACTTACCACGGTGAGATTTATAAAAACGACCCATAGAAATAATAATATCATAGATATTATAAATTTATACATACTCTGTAACATAGTACATGTCATACTTTTATATTTCAATCATCAAACAACAATTGCTCTCTTTTATCAGCATACTAGTACCCATGGGGATCCATAGAGGTCTCCGCTACACGTGAACCAATCACTTTAACAAACTTTATTCTAGGGTCGTCCCCATAACCCGTCCGGTATGGGCGTCAAAATAATAAACCTCAATACCCCGTCCGGTATGAGGGTGAAGCGGGTTGTCCCCATACCCCGTTCGGTATGAGTGCCAAAATATTTAAAGTTTCCATACTTCGTCCGGTATGAGACAACGTTTCCGGTAGGGTTCCCTATAGATCCGGTCTGTCCACCATCTCCCAAGATATCTTGTGAGGCTGTCATCTTATCCAATTATCAATTCAATCCCATTCCTATTTATCCTTAGTCTCCGTTACCCATTCAAACATGAATACTTAAACAAGCAACGTGCATCCAAGAAGGCAAGCATATTTTAAATTCACAAAATCAAGCAATAGCAAGATAAACAGTGATTCATGCATTCAGAAACCATAGAATAAATAAGCCAGATACCATAATGTATTTTAAACTGTTAAATAAATCAAACAGGAATTGACAGAGAAATATGTCTGATTCGGACTCCATTAGCAACCTTAATTAATTATACATATCTATTAATTACAAAAATACAATATTACCATTTATTTGAACTTTAATTCCATGATAGGAAATAGGGTGAGGGGTCCTTACCTTATTCAAAGTCGAAAATCGGATTTTCACTGCGCCTATGGACAGTCCCTAGATTCCCTGAATTTTTTTCCAGAAACTGAATATGGTACCTACACATGTCCCCAAATAACCCAAAAATCAGACCCAGGGCCTACTCGACCAATTTCAGAATTCCAGCACGGCAACTCTGCCATGCTCTGGCGATGGCGCTGCCGTCCGCAGCGGCGATCCGCCTCGGGTTGGCTGTTTTCAGTCGAATTCAGTCAAGCTTGCACCAGTTCCTGTGAGAAAACACACGTAAGACCCTTGGTGGACAAAAAAAACACAGAAAACTAAAACCTACCGGCGGCGGGGCTCTCTGGTGCAGCGGCTCCTCTGGCTCACGTTGCAGTTGGGTGTTTTGCTTTGGTCAACCTATAGAGGAGGAAATAGTGATCACAATGGTAAAAAAATTACGTCGAACTAGAACCGGGAAGGGCCTCATCGGAGGTAAAAATCGAGACAACCTGCGGAGACGCCGCTGGGCTTCGACGGCGTTTTTCGGCCAATTGGCCAATGTTTTGTCTCCGATTTGGCCAAAAGTGGGTTTACAATAGAATTCTGAGCAAAGGGGAGAATTTTTATCTCGTTTGGCAGTCGAAAAGTGCTCCGGTGCGGCGACGGGTGGCGACAGTCGGCTCCCCAACGGCTGGGCTGTCTTCTCTGGCGAGGGCTCTGGTAGCTACGGTTAAGGTTTGGGTGTGGATGAAATTATTTGTAACCTTCTGCTTTTAATCTGAGCCGTTCATCACGATTTAATCTGGACCGTCCGATCGCGATTAAATAGGAAATAAATCTGGACCGTTCATCGCGATGCAATCTGGGCCGTCCGTACGTGATTCAATCTAAGCCGTCCGTGAACATGCAATTTGGGCCATCCGTGCGCGTTTTTGATCTGCGCCGTCCGTGCGTGATTCAATCTGTACCGTCCGTGCGCGTTTTTGATCTGGGTCGTCCGTGCGTGCGGGAACGGATTTCAGTCGTTCAATCGCGCGCACGCAGATCACCCACGTGGCTCCCTTCCGCGTGGCCTCCTGCGTCAGCGTCTCTGCCACGCGGTGCGTTCATGTTGGTTGGGGCTGCTGACTGGGCAGCTAACGTGGCGTAATTTTTTTAAATTATATTTTGACCCCCCGATTTTCAAATTTGTTTTCAAAAATACCCCCAGAACCCAAATTTTTACCTCGTTTTCTCAAAATTATTTTCAATTAAATTCCTAAGTAATTTTTTTTCCTTTTTATTGTTTTTATTATTATTATTTCTATTAAAATAATTTAAAATAAATTAAATTCTATTAATTCTTAATTATATTTATTTAGAATAAATTAAAAATAAAGTAAAATAAAATAAAATAATAATAATGATAAAAATAAAAAGAATTCTTGGGTGTTACAGGGTTAATCTCCACTAGCTCTTGAAAGGGTTCGGGAGATAAATTACTTACAATATTCTGGCTGATCGGGGTGTGGATCTTGGCCCTCTTGATATAAAATAGTTAATAGAAGAGTGAGGTACACTAGTCTGGTAAGAATATCACACTAATCACTAATACGAAAAACAAAAGTTGGTAAAAATCACAAAACAATTAATGGAACTCTTAATTTAAGTAAATTCATTTAATGTCAAAACGTTATTTTCATACTTACTGTTACAAGTTTTTCAAAACCAACCTATAAGACAAACACCCATTTAACATTTATGATTTCATTTACAAGTGAGTAAAGTCGGTCATTCTCCTTTTTTACTACTTATTGGGACTTCTTGGAGTCTATAGGGGTATCCCCTGACTCGTGAACTCAATATCTAGATTTTTCAATTTACTCGTCTGTCCATACCTTGTCCGGTATGAGGGTGAACCATATCTTCTAATCTTCCCAATATGGGCCCCCTCAGTCCCGTCTCACTGAAGTATTGTCAACGCTAGGTCTTTCCCTATGTACTAAGTCCGTCCACCATTTTCTAAGGTACCTAGTAAACCTTTCATATATAAATTCCCATCAACAAATAATCATCAATCGCCTACGAACATTTTATTTTATATTCACAAATCAATCAAACAGAATTTAAGCAAATAATATATTTTTTTATACCTTAATAATTAAGAAACATAATTGGGGTTTCTATTTCAAATCAGTCAATTAGATATAAATCACAATCAGGAAATCAATAACGAGAAAGCAATTAAATTTAATAATTTAAATCATACGGCGGAACAATAAGCAATTTAGAAAGTATAAAAAAATAAATAGACATGTAGACGAGCTTAGGGCAAGCTTACACTGACAAGTTTTTCGGCTCTA